TGTGACATCGCTGTAAAGTGATATCGATTCCCGTTATTCGCCCCGCGAGGATCCCTGACCTTGAGAGTCGCCACATGTGCCAGCGAGGAGCGTCTCCGAAACTTCCAGCTCAATACTGCGACCTCTGAGGGCCAAACATCGCACCGTGCTCCTGTATTCATGTATATATGCTGGAGCGATGCTCTGCAGATCTCTAGATGGAATAATCTGCAGAATATATCAGTATGGATCTGTCAGGAGGGGGATGGGACGGAGCGATGCTCTGCAGGTCTATAGATGGGATAATCTGCAGAATATATATAGGGATCTGTCAGGAGGGGGAGGGAGCGATGTTCTGCAGGTCTATAGATGGGATAATCTGCAGAATATATATAGGGATCTGTCAGGAGGGGGAGGGAGCGATGCTCTGCAGGTCTATAGATGGGATAATCTGCAGAATATATATAGGGATCTGTCAGGAGGGGGATGGGACGGAGCGATGCTCTGCAGGTCTATAGATGGGATAATCTGCAGAATATATATAGGGATCTGTCAGGAGGGGGAGGGAGCGATGCTCTGCAGGTCTATAGATGGGATAATCTGCAGAATATATATAGGGATCTGTCAGGAGGGGGAGGGAGCAATGTTCTGCAGATCTCTAGATGTAATAATCTGCAGAATATATCAATATGGATCTGTCAGGAGGGGGAGGGAGTGATGCTCTGCAGATCTATAGATGGGATAATCTGCAGAATATATATAGGGATCTGTCAGGAGGGGGATGGGACGGAGCGATGCTCTGCAGGTCTATAGATGGGATAATCTGCAGAATATATATATGGATGTCAGGAGGGGCAGGGAGCGATGTTCTGCAGATCTCTAGAGGGGTCAGTGATGAGATAATCTGCAGAATATATCAGTATGGATCTGTCAGGAGGGGGAGAGGACGGAGCGATGCTCTGCAGGTCTATAGATGGGATAATCTGCAGAATATATATATGGATCTTGCAGGAGGGGGAGGGAGCGATGTTCTGCAGATCTCTAGATGTAATAATCTGCAGAATATATCAATATGGATCTGTCAGGAGGGGGAGGGGAGTGAGCGATGCTCTGCAGATCTATAGATGGGATAATCTGCAGAATATATATAGGGATCTGTCAGGAGGGGGAGGGGACGGAGCGATGTTCTGCAGATCTCTAGAGGGGTCAGTGGTGGGATAATCTGCAGAATATATCAATATGTATCAGGGGTGGACTGACAACTCATGGGGCCCCCGGGCAATAGGGGATCATGGGGCCCCCGGGCAATAGGGGATCATGGGGCCCCTGTGTCCTTGCCGAAACTCAAAAAACCCTATGAAAAAGGTACCAGGGGCATCTCATGGGGCCCCCTCCTGACCCCGGGCCCTCAGGCAGTGCCCAAGTTTCCAAGTGGTCAGTCCGCCCCTGGGTTGTATCTGTTCAGGAGGGGGAGGGGACGGAGCGATGTTCTGCAGATCTCTCTGACTCTCTGGAATGAAGGTGTGTCTGGTGTTCCGGTGTTCCGGCTCTGTACACAGTCTCGGGGGCGGGGTCAGGGTGTTGTCTGGTGAGGAATTCGCAGCTCTCCTGCGGTTGGTCGCTGTGAGTTGCGTTCGTTCCTGCGGGAATATTTCAGGAGATATCGATCGCTGCCGACGGAGGAGTTCAGACGCGCTGCTGCGGCGGAGGAGTTCAGACGCGCTGCCGGCGGAGGAGTTCAGACGCGCTGCCGGCGGAGGAGTTCTGACGCGCTGCCGGCGGAGAGGAGTTCAGACGCGCGGAGGAGTTCAGACGCGCTGCCGGCGAACGCAAATTGCGCCATTTATTCTTTGCTGGGAATCGTCGCACACCAGCTGAAAGCTGACATCAGGCTCGCAGTGGGAGGAGCAACTCCTGTAACCTGATTCTGCGATAGGAAGACAAACATATACAATGTATTCTATTTGTATCCATGTATGGCGATCAGAGCTCCGCCTCCTGGGGGGTGGAGCTAAGAAGCCGGTCGCACATGAGCGTTACATGCGCTGTGGCTTCATTCATTTTAAAATAGCCCCTCCCCTAATACCGCAAGGCTTGGTTAACGCCCACTGGTGCGACTAAGTGCGCATACCGCGTGTAGGGAAGACCGATAATTCTGATTGGCCATCTTTTCCGGGGCCCCCACCTCCCCTCAGAGCCCCCCACTTTTAGGGGACCCCACCTCTTTTCAGAGGCCTCACCTCCCTTCAGGGCCCTCCTTTTTTTAGGGGACCCTGCCTGCCTTCAGGGGCCCCTACCTCTTTTCAAGAGCCCAGCATCCCGTCAGGGGTCTCCACCTCTTTTCCGGGACCACCACCTCCCCTCAGGGCCCCCCTTTTTTTTTTAGGGGAACCCATGTCCCCTCAGGGGACCCCACCTCTCTTCAGGGGCTCCAACCTCTTTTCAGAGGCCCTGCCAACCTTCAAGGGTCTCCACCACTTTTCTGGGGCCCCCACCTCCCCTCAGGACCTCCCTTTTTTTAGGGGACCCTGCCTCCCCTCAGGGGTCTCCCCCTCTTTACCGGGGGCCCCCACCTCCCCTCAGGGGTCTCCCCCTCTTTACCGGGGGCCCCCACCTCCCTTCAGGAGTCTCCACCTCTTTTTAGGGGCCCTGCCTCCCTTCAGGGGTCTCCACCTCTTTTCTGGAGCCCCCACCTCCCCTCAGGTCCCTTTTATTTTTTAGGAGCCCCCGCCTCCCTTCAGGGGCCCCCACCTCTTTTCAGGGGCCCCCGCCTTGCTCCTTGTCTGTTAGAGAATGCCTTGCTCCCCCCCCCCCCCCCCGCATGTCCTGGGCCCCCGTCCTCGGGGAGAGGATAGCAGGATAAAGGTGCAAATCCCCGGATTTAAAGGCGGAATCCCCCCTAAAGCCCCTGATTGGCCGGCTGGCCGGAGGGGACACGACACGCTCCCACGGGACGCCCGGGGCCACCAGCTGAACACAATCCCAGCTGCGCCTGTCACCGAGCCGCTCTCTGAAAATGCCAAACGCCTGGCTGCCATCGGGATCCTGAGGCTTCAGTGATTTCAGGGGCGGGGTATTCAGGAGGGGCGGAGCTCTGATTGGGGCAGATCCCGCCCTCAGCTTCCCAACTCTCCAACATCCACCAAACACTGAAATGGCCATTTATAGGGTACCGGCCCTTTAAATTGGTGTTGTGCAGGCCTGGCCTGCCCCCTGCTGGAGGAAAGTGGTACTTCCTGTCATTGTCACCCCCATGCACCCCCCCCCCTCCCAGCACAGAGGGGTCACTGTTCTCCTCCTATGAAGGAGCATTTATCTGGTTAACCCCTTCCTGCCCCTGGGCCGCCCCTCCCCCCAAGACATAAAAGCCGGAATTGTTTGGATTGAACTCAGCTCTGCAGTCATCCATACATTGCAAATACAAACCTCCCACTACCAGTGTGTACAGCAGGGCTCAGACTGGGGGAGGGAGAAGCAGCACAACCAGCCAATCCGTTCAGGTGCTGACAAGGAGCGTGCTGACAGGAGGAGAGAGCGAAGTGGCAAAAAGATGAGCTCATCGGTGTGCTGCTTCTCCTTTCACTGTCCAATCATAGGTTGGGGGCTGGGCTCAGAGGAAGTAGGTTGAATCAGGATGGTAGGAGGAGAGAGCAGAGTGGCAGGTGAGCTCATCGCTAGGCTGCTTCTCCTTTCACTGTCCAATCACAGGCTGGGGGTGGGTTCAGGATGACCTGGGCTCAGAGGAAGCAGGTTGAAGCTTGCTGATAGGAGGAGAGAGCAGAGTGACAGAGAGATGAGCTCATCACTGTGCTCCTTCTTCTTTCACTGTCCAATCACAGGCTGGTGGATGGGTTCAGGGTGACCTGGGCTCAGAGGAAGTGGGTTAAATCATGCTGACAGGAAGAGAGAGCAGAGTGACAGGTGGGCCCCTCGCTGTACTGCTTCTCTTTTCACTGTCCAATCACAAGCTGGGGGTGGGTTCAGGATGATCTGGGCTCAGAGGAGGTAGGTTGAAGCTTGCAGATAGGAGGAGAGATCAGAGTGACAGAGAGATGAGCTCATCACTGTGCTCCTTCTTTCACTGTCCAATCACAGGCTGGGGACTGGGCTCAGAGAAGGTAGATTGAATCATGCTGATAGAAAGAAAGAGCAGGTAGGTCCATTGGTGTGCTGCTTCTCCTTTCACTGTCCAATCACAGGCTGGGGGTGGGACCAGGATGACTTGGGCTCAGAGGAGGTAGATTGAAGCATGCTGATAGGAGGAGAGAGCAGAGTGACAGAGAGATGAGCTCATCACTGTGCTGCTTCTCCTTTCACTGTCCAATCACAGGCTGGGGTGGGACCAGGATGACTTGGGCTCAGAGGAGGTAGATTGAAGCATGCTGATAGGAGGAGAGAGCAGAGTGACAGAGAGATGAGCTCATCACTGTGCTGCTTCTCCTTTCACTGTCCAATCACAGGCTGGGGGTGGGTCCAGGATGACTTGGGCTCAGAGGAGGGAAGCAGGTTGAATCATGCAGATAGGAGGAAAGCAGAGTGACAGGTGAGCTCATCACTGTGCTGCATCTCCTATCACTGTCCAATCACAGGCTGGGGGCGGGTCCAGGACAGCCAGGGCTCAAAGGAAGTGGATTGAATGATGCTGGCAGTCGGGCTGAGGACATCCGCTGGCAGAGAAGAGGCACTGCAGGAGGAATCTCTGCACTGGAGGTGAATATGCAGGAAGTACAGGAAGTGAGAAGACATTTCTCCGGCACAGGTGACCCCCATTGGATTATCTGATTTTCCCCTCTATTCCTGTTTCTGGTGACAACGCCAACATTTTGAAACTCCCATCACATGAAGCCCTGGTTATAACGGTGACTCCCAGCGGAGATTTCTGCTTTCAATAAACTTTATTAACAACAAGTGACAATAAACATTTCACCAGACTTGTCTTTGAGAAATCCCGTCGGGGTACATGGTGCCTGAGGTCAGGTATTGGGGTGCAAGGCAGCCCCCCCACCCCCCTCCCACCCGGATCACAGTCTCTGCTGGTGGAAAGTCTTGCACAGCCGCTGGAGCTCCTCTTGGTACTGCCGATGCTCCAAGTCTAATAGATGTTGTAGCGCCGCCCTGCGGGTCTGAAAAGACACAACATCCCTCAATGGGCTGACTGAGAACTGCGAGCAACAAGGGCCCCAGAGGAGCCAATCACTTACCAGGAGGAGCTCAACCCCGCCCATCCTCAGCTCTTGGCGCTTCTGTGATTGGTGGTTCCTGGGATGCGACCGGCAATGACCCCCCGAGAGTCTTCCTTCCACTCCAACATATATCGCTCCGCGCGTTCACTGCGCCAATCCAGAGAGAGGATTATATACAGGATTATACGCCACGCCCTAGTACGAGTGACTATATCTGATCTCCAGATATATATTATACAGAGTGACATCACCGCCCTCCAGATATAAGATATATATATACAGGAGTGACATCACCGCCCTCCGGATATAAGATATATTATACAGGAGTGACATCACCGCCCTCCAGATATAAGATATATTATACAGGAGTGACATCACCGCCCTCCAGATATAAGATATATTATACAGAGATCACCGCCCCTCAGACATATAAGATATATTATACAGAGTGACATCACCGCCCTCAGAGATATAAGATATATTATACAGAGTGACATCACCGCCCTCCGGATATAAGATATATTATACAGAGTGACATCACCGCCCTCCAGATATAAGATATATATTATACAGGAGTGACATCACCGCCCTCCGGAGATAAAGATATATTATACAGAGTGACATCACCGCCCTCCAGATATAAGATATATTATACAGAGTGACATCACCGCCCTCCAGATATAAGATATATTATACAGAGTGACATCACCGCCCTCCAGATATAAGATATATTATACAGAGTGACATCACCGCCCTCCAGATATAAGATATATTATACAGAGTGACATCACCGCCCTCCAGGATATAAGATATATTATACAGAGTGACATCACCGCCCTCCAGATATAAGATATATTATACAGAGTGACATCACCGCCCTCCAGATATAAGATATATTATACAGAGTGACATCACCGCCCTCCAGATATAAGATATATTATACAGAGTGACATCACCGCCCTCCAGATATAAGATATTATTATACAGAATGACATCACCGCCCTCCAGATATAAGATATATTATACAGAGTGACATCACCGCCCTCCAGATATAAGATATATTATACAGAGTGACATCACCGCCCTCCAGATATAAGATATATTATACAGAGTGACATCACCGCCCTCCAGATATAAGATATATTATACAGAGTGACATCACCGCCCTCCAGATATAAGATATATTATACAGGAGTGACATCACCGCCCTCCAGATATAAGATATATTATACAGAGTGACATCACCGCCCTCCGGATATAAGATATATTATACAGAGTGACATCACCGCCCTCCAGATATATTATACAGAGTGACATCACCGCCCTCCAGATATAAGATATATTATACAGGAGTGACATCACCGCCCTCCAGATATAAGATATATTATACAGAGTGACATCACCGCTCTCCAGATATAAGATATATTATACAGGAGTGACATCACCGCCCTCCAGATATAAGATATATTATACAGAGTGACATCACCGCCCTCCAGATATAAGATATATTATACAGAGTGACATCACCGCCCTCCAGATATAAGATATATTATACAGAGTGACATCACCGCCTCCAGATATAAGATATATTATACAGGAGTGACATCACCACCCTCCAGATATAAGATATATTATACAGAGTGACATCACCGCTCTCCAGATATAAGATATATTATACAGAGTGACATCACCGCTCTCCGGATATAAGATATATATATACAGAGTGACATCACCGCTCTCCGGATATAAGATATATTATACAGAGTGACATCACCGCTCTCCGGATATAAGATATATTATACAGAGTGACATCTTACCGGTGAAGTTCGGGTTTGGGCGATGCGGAGAAGATCGTTTCTCTAGAAGACAAGGACAGAGATAAGTAATGGGGGGGGGGTAAAGTATGGGGGTTGGGGGGAGTATGATTTGGCGTCGGGGTGCCTCACCTGGGTGGAGCTCCTGCCTCTCGCAGGGATCTTGCAGCGATCATTATGGGTGTCTGTGGAGAGAGAAGTTGGCGGTGATCTTGGGGTGCAGACTGCGCTGCCTGTTCTGCCTTTCTGTCCCCCCCTCCCCCCCACTCATTGCCTCCACACCCCCCAATGCCTGAAACATGTCAGCACACCAAGGAAACTCACCTATGATGGAGGATCCTGGGGGAGCGGAACCCTCCAATCCCAGCCATGGACACTATGAATCTGATCTCCTCCAATCAGCACAGCTTCCTCCTCCACCACTGCGTCACCATGGAAACCGTACACAAAACCTGACTCTACCACAAACTGCCACTTTTTTTTTTTTCTTTTGCTTCTACTTTATTGAGACGCAGTTTATGAACACAACGAACAAACCCAAATCCTGTATAATATATCTTATATCTGGAGGGCGGTGATGTCACTCTGTATATTATATCTTATATCTGGAGGGCGGTGATGTCACTCTGTATAATATATCTTATATCTGGAGGGCGGGTGATGTCACTCTGTATAATATATCTTATATCCGGAGGGCGGTGATGTCACTCCTGTATAATATATCTTATATCTGGAAGGGGCTGTGATGTCACTCTGTATAATATATCTTATATCTGGAGGGCGCGGTGATGTCACTCTGTATAATATATCTTATATCTGGAGGGCGGTGATGTCACTCCTGTATAATATATCTTATATCTGGAGGGCGGTGATGTCACTCTGTATAATATATATCTTATATCTGGAGGGCGGTGTGATGTCACTCCTGTATAATATATCTTATATCTGGAGGGCGGTGATGTCACTCTGTATAATATATCTTATATCTGGAGGGCGGTGGTGATGTCACTCCTGTATAATATATCTTATATCTGGAGGGCGGTGATGTCACTCTGTATAATATATCTTATATCTGGAGGGCGGTGATGTCACTCTGTATATATATCTTTATATCTGGAGGGCGGTGATGTCACTCTGTATAATATATCTTATATCTGGAGGGCGGTGATGTCACTCTGTATAATATATCTTATATCTGGAGGGCGGTGATGTCACTCCTGTATAATATATCTTATATCTGGAGGGCGGTGATGTCACTCTGTATAATATATCTTATACATCTGGATATCACTCTGGAGGGCGGAGAGCGGATGACATGTCACTTTTGTATTATAATATATCTGATGTCACTCTGTATAATATATCTTATATCTGGAGGGCGGTGATGTCACTCTGTATAATATATCTTATATCCGGAGGGCGGTGATGTCACTCTGTATAATATATCTTATATCTGGAGGGCGGTGATGTCACTCTGTATAATATATCTTATATCTGGAGAGCGGTGATGTCACTCTGTATAATATATCTTATATCTGGAGGGCGGTGATGTCACTCTGTATATATATATCTTATATCCGGAGGGCGGTGATGTTACTCTGTATAATATATCTTATATCCGGAGGGCGGTGATGTCACTCCTGTATATATATATATATCTGGAGGGCGGTGACATCACCGTGATGTCACTCTGTATAATATATCTTATATCTGGAGGGCGGTGATGTCACTCTGTATAATATATCTTATATCTGGGAGGGCGGTGGTGATGTCACTCTGTATAATATATCTTATATCTGGAGGGCGGGTGATGTCACTCTGTATAATATATCTTATATCCGGAGGGCGGTGATGTCACTCTGTATAATATATCTTATATCTGGAGGGCGGTGATGTCACTGTCACTCTGTATAATATATCTTATATCCGGAGGGCGGTGATGTTACTCTGTATAATATATCTTATATCCGGAGGGCGGTGATGTCATATCCGGAGGGCGGTGATGATGTCACTCTGTATAATATAGATCTTATATATCTGGAGGGCGGTGATGTCACTCTGTATAATATATCTTATATCTGGATTGAGTCATCTGTATAATATATCTTATATCTGGAGGATGGTGATGTCACTCTGTATAATATATCTTATATCTGGAGGGCGGTGATGTCACTCTGTATAATATATCTTATATCTGGAGGCGGGGCGGTGATGTCACTCTGTATAATATATCTTATATCTGGAGGGCGGTGATGTCACTCTGTATAATATATATCTTATATCTGGAGGGCGGTGATGTCACTCTGTATAATATATCTTATATCCGGAGGGCGGTGATGTCACTCTGTATAATATATCTTATATCCGGAGGGCGGTGGTGTACTCTGTTATAATCTTATATCCGGAGGGCGGTGATGTTACTCTGTATAATATATCTTTATCGGAGGGCGGTGATGTCACTTGTTACTCTGTATAATATATCTTATATCCGGAGGGCGGTGATGTCACTCTGTATAATATATCTTATATCTGGAGGGCGGTGATGATGTCACTCTGTATAATATATCTTATATCTGGAGGGCGGTGATGTCACTCTGTAATAATATATATCTTATATCTGGAGGGCGGTGATGTCACTCTGTATAATATATCTTATATCTGGAGGGCGGTGATGTCACTCTGTATAAATATATCTTATATCCGGAGGGCGGTGATGTCACTCTGTATAATATATCTTATATCTGGAGGGCGGTGATGTCACTCTGTATAATATATCTTATATCCGGAGGGCGGTGATGTCACTCTGTATAATATATCTTATATCTGGAGGGCGGTGATGTCACTCTGTATAATATATCTTATATCTGGAGGGCGGTGATGTCACTCTCTGTAATATATCTTATATCTGGAGAGGGCGGTGATGTCACTCTGTATAATATATCTTATATCTGGAGGGCGGTGATGTCACTCCTGTATAATATATCTTATATCTGGAGGGCGGTGATGTCACTCTGTATAATATATCTTATATCTGGAGGGCGGTGATGTCACTCTGTATAATATATCTTATATCTGGAGGGCGGTGATGTCACTCTGTATAATATATCTTATATCTGGAGGGCGGTGATGTCACTCTGTATAATATATCTTAATCCGGAGGGCGGTGATGTCACTCTGTATAATATATCTTATATCTGGAGGGAGGGCGGTGATGTCACTCTGTATATATATATCTTATATCTGGAGGGCGGTGATGTCACTCTGTATAATATATCTTATATCTGGAGGGCGGTGATGTCACTCTGTATAATATATCTTATATCTGGAGGGCGGTTGATGTCACTCTGTATAATATATCTTATATCTGGAGGGCGGTGATGTCACTCTGTATAATATATCTTATATCTGGAGGGCGGTGATGTCACTCTGTATAATATATCTTATATCTGGAGGGCGGTGATGTCACTCTGTATAATATATCTTATATCCGGAGGGCGGTGTGATGTCACTCTGTATAATATATCTTATATCCGGAGGGCGGTGATGTCACTCTGTATAATATATCTTATATCCGGAGGGCGGTGATGTCACTCCTGTATAATATATCTTATATCTGGAGGCGGTGATGTCACTCTATATAATATATCTTATATCTGGAGGGCGGTGATGTCACTCTGTATAATATATCTTATATCCGGAGGGCGGTGATGTCACTACTCTATATCTATGATCGGTGATAGTAATAATCAGAGAGAGGCGGAGTTATACGTTAATCAAATGTTTATTACTGTACAAGAAACATAGAAAAGTCCCTCCTCCTCCCTCCCCCCACTCCTCCCCCTCCTGGTTGTAGGAAAGTGGGGCGTGGCCTCTTCCTGAACTCCGCGGACTGCGATGAATTCGGAGTATAAAAGATAAAACCTGATTGGTTCTTCCCGACAGCCGACACCTCGGCCAGATCAGCATAAATCGTTATTCCGGCGCGGTGAGGTCTCTTCTCATTGGCTGCTGGGACAGTCTGAATGTCGTCAGTCCTCACACAGCCAATGGGGGTCCCACAGTAAACGCTCCCAGAAAAGAATTAAAGGAGAACTCCACCCAAAATGAACATATCTGCATGACATCGGTCAGTCACGTGACGGGTTCTAACATCTCCCGGGACCCCAGAACTCCCGGTTAGACCCAGCCCCACGGGTGGTGTCACCCTCTTTTCATGGTGTCACAAGAATTTGGTGCTGGGCCTATCATTATGGGGGGGGGGACGGGACGGGGGGGGACGTCCTTAATGGCGGGGGATGGGGTGGAAAGGTCTCGAGGAGATAGAAGTCGTCTGAGCACGAGTGACCTTGCGGGGCTCCACCCAAAACTGAAGTCCTGCTTCCTGGTGGAGTTGCCCTTTCATTGAGCCCATGGTTGATTTTCAGCAAACCTCCCTTCCCCCGCCCGTCCGGTCCTGCTCTGGCACCCCGGGAGAAGAATCCGGCCAATCGGATGGCGGAGATCCCCGCCGGCTCACAAGGTGCTCTCCAGGGTGTTGTAATTGTCCTTGAAGCTCTTCAGCTCCAGGAAGTGTTTGGGCCGTTTGCTCTTCTGGCTGGACGGCAGGTAGGTGACCTGGATGGTGGGCGAGGCGGAAGGTTCCGGAGAGGCGGTCAGGTCTTTGGCGGCGGACTGGCGCTGCCTCTGGCTTCCCAGGTCTCTGGATTTCACCCTGAGGGAGGAAGAGAGGCGTCAGAGGAACCCCAACGGGAAAAGAGACGACGCGAGGACGCTGGTGAATGGATGGGGAGACTTACAAGGCCGTCAACTCGCTCAGAGACTCCATGAACTTCTCGTGTTCCACTCGGCCGTACACCTAAAAACACAAAAAAAAAAACCCATAAAACATACGAAAAAAAAAAAAAAAAACTTCTCTTTCACCCCGGCGTCAGGAGACTTCAACCCGCTTCCCCTCTCTACCCCGGGAGGGGGAGACTTCAACCCGCTTCCCTTCTCTACCCGGGGGGGGGAGGCTTCAACCCGCTTCCCGTCTCTACCCGGGGAGGGGGAGACTTCAACCCGCTTCCCGTCTCTACCCGGGGAGGGGGAGACTTCAACCCGCTTCCCGTCTCTACCCGGGGAGGGGGAGACTTCAACCCGCTTCCCCTCTCTACCCGGGGAGGGGGAGACTTCAACCCGCTTCCCCTCTCTACCCGGGGAGGGGGAGACTTCAACCCCGCTTCCCTTCTCTACCCGGGGAGGGGGAGACTTCAACCCGCTTCCCTTCTCTACCCGGGGAGGGGGAGACTTCAACCCGCTTCCCTTCTCTACCCGGGGAGGGGGAGACTTCAACCCGCTTCCCTTCTCTACCCGGGGAGGGGGAGACTTCAACCCGCTTCCCGTCTCTACCCGGGGAGGGGGAGACTTCAACCCGCTTCCCGTCTCTACCCGGGGAGGGGGAGACTTCAACCCGCTTCCCGTCTCTACCCGGGGAGGGGGAGACTTCAACCCGCTTCCCGTCTCTACCCGGGGAGGGGGAGACTTCAACCCCCGCTTCCCCTCTCTACCCGGGGAGGGGGAGACTTCAACCCGCTTCCCGTCTCTCTACCCGGGGAGGGGGAGACTTCAACCCGCTTCCCGTCTCTACCCGGGGAGGGGGAGACTTCAACCCGCTTCCCGTCTCTCTACCCGGGGAGGGGGGAGACTTCAACCCGCTTCCCGTCTCTACCCGGGGAGGGAGAGACTTCAACCCGCTTCCCGTCTCTACCCGGGGAGGGGGGAGACTTCAACCCGCTTCCCTTCTCTACCCGGGGAGGGGGAGACTTCAACCCGCTTCCCGTCTCTACCCGGAGGGGGGAGACTTCAACCCGCTTCCCGTCTCTACCCGGAGGGGGGAGACTTCAACCCGCTTCCCGTCTCTACCCGGAGGGGGGGAGACTTCAACCCGCTTCCCGTCTCTACCCGGAGGGGGAGACTTCAACCCGCTTCCCGTCTCTACCCGGAGGGGGGAGACTTCAACCCGCTTCCCGTCTCTACCCGGAGGGGGGAGACTTCAACCCGCTTCCCGTCTCTACCTGGAGGGGGGAGGTTTCACCTCGCTTCCTGTCCGCCCGGGGGGGGAGGTTTGCCCCAGGCACATCTACGGCACCTCATGTTAAGGTCCCAATTGCTACTTGCGATCAGTATCTTTCCGATCATGTCCGTGTGGCAGCCAATCACAGCACTCACATGACGCTAAAACCCCGCCTCCCGGCATCACAAACCACATGAAGGGCCGAGAAGTGCCGGCACCCCTCGCGGGGTGAAGCTTGGAGATGTTGGGCGTTCTCACCCCGGTGCCGTAGCGGGCGGAGTCATATCCATCCAGCAGGGCGTCCAGTAGTGGCTTGCGGTAGGTCTTGTAGGGCGAGCTGCTGTTCCTCATCTCCAACAGGAACGCCCGGAAATTTCTTCCTACCAGAGATTTGGGGAACTTCGCACTCGTCTCCTGGAAGGGGATGTCTGATGGGAGGGAAGAAAAATGTCAGAGAATTCGTATCCCTGATCGTCACCCCAATTCCTGCCCCCCTCACATCACCCCCCAATTCCTGCCCCCCCCCAATTCCTCACATCACATCACCCCAATTCCTGCCCCCCCTCATCCCTCACATCACCCCAATTCCTGCCCCCCTCACATCACCCCAATTCCTGCCCCCCTCACATCACCCCAATTCCTGCCCCCCTCACATCACCCCAATTCCTGCCCCCCTCACATCACCCCAATTCCTGCCCCCCCCTCACATCACCCCCAATTCCTGCCCCCCTCACATCACCCCAATTCCTGCCCCCCTCACATCACCCCAATTCCTGCCCCCCTCACATCACCCCAATTCCTGCCCCCCCCTCACATCACCCCAATTCCTGCCCCCCTCACATCACCCCAATTCCTGCCCCCCTCATCCCTCACATCACCCCCAATTCCTGCCCCCCCTCACATCATTCCCTCACACACCCCATTCCTGCCCCCCTCACCCCCCCAATTCCTGCCCCCTCATCCCTCACACACACCCCAATTCCTGCCCCCCCCTCACATCACCCCAATTCCTGCCCCCCTCATCCCTCACATCACCCCAATTCCTGCCCCCTCATCCCTCACATCAATCCCTCACATCACCCCAATTCCTGCCCCCTCATATCACTCCCCCATTCCTGCACCCCTCACATCACCCCAATTCCTGCACCCCTCACATCACCCCAATACCTGTGCCATCACTCCTCCGATCCCCCCAAATTCCTGCGTCTTCACCCCTCCAATCCCCCCAATTCTGGCACCCTCATCCCTCAGATCCCCCCCAATTCCTGCACCCTCATCCCTCAGATCCCCCCCAATTCCTGCACCCTCATCCCTCAGATCCCCCCCAATTCCTGCACCCTCATCCCTCAGATCCCCCCCCAATCCTGCAACCCTCCCCTCAGATCCCCCCCAATTCCTGCACCCTCATCCCTCAGATCCCCCCCAATTCTTGCACCCTCATCCCTCACACACCCCAATTCTTGCACCTTCACCCCTCCTATCCGGCGGGCGGACTGTAATGCTGGCACCTACCTGTGAGAGTGAGACGCTTACAGCTCTAAGCATAGCAGCCCCCCCCACCCAGCAGCAGTGGGACAAGTGCAACCCTTGTGACCCCAGTAGTTCCGCCGCCTATGCCATAGACTCCTGGTACTGAGCATGATGACTTGTCAATGCTGGCACTGAGCTGTGAGAGTGAGACACTTTCAGTTCTAAGCACAGCAGCCCCCCACCCCCGCAGCAGTGGGACAAGTGCGACCTTTGTGACCCTGGTAGTTCTGCCCCCGACGCCCTAGACCCCTGGTACTGAGCACGCACGACATTCCTGAGCTCACTGGGAGACCCTCAGAGAGATGAGCGCCTCCCCCCCCCCCCCCGCCCTATGCCACTCATGTGCATCCACAGCCTGTGATGTGATTGGCTCGCTGGGGACCGGCAGAAGACCTGGGACACCCGCCTGTCATATTTCAGGTTCACTGCCCCGGGTCCCAGCAGGTCCACATCCAGGAGACTCCGCCCATCTATGGTCAGCTCCCCAGAGCATGGAGTTTGCAGAGAAGCTCACCGGAGTCTTTCACTCCATCCAGCGTCTTCATTCTGTACAGATAGTTGCAGCAACCTGGAAGAGACAAGCCGACATGCCACCCGAGATGATCAAACTCAGCAAAAAAACCCAAAAAAAACAAAAAAAAAAAAGCAAGAAACAAACAAAAAATAGGCAAAACAGAAAACCCCCAAAAACAAAATAAATAAAAGCAAAAAAACAGAAAACAAAAAAAAACAATAAAAGCAAAAAACAAGAAAAAGGAAAATTTTCTGACATAAAGTGGACCTGTCACGGTCTATAATACCTCTCAAAGGACTCCCCCTGACAGCGCCTTCATCTGATTTCCCCCCCCCCCCCCCCCCCGGGCACTTTCATCCGATTTCCCCCCCCCCACCCCCCCCCCCCCCCCAGGACAGGCACCTTCATCCGATTCCCCCCCCCTAGGACGGCGCCTTCATCTGATTTCCTGATTTCCCCCCCCCCCAGGATGGCGCCTTCATCTGATTCCCCCCCCCCCCAGGACGGCACCTTCATCCGATTCCTTCCCCCCCCAGGACGGCGCCTTCATCCGATTCCCCCCCCCCAGGACGGCGCCTTCATTCATCCGATTTCCCCCCCCCCCCAGGACGGCGCCTTCATCCGATTTCCCCCCCCCCCCAGGACGGCACCTTCATCCGATTCCCCCCCCCAGGACGGCGCCTTCATCTGATTTCCCCCCCCCCCCCCAGATTTTCATCCGATTTCCCCCCCCCAGGACGGCGCCTTCATCCGATTCCCCCCCCCCCCCAGGACGGCACCTTCATCCGATTCCTTCCCCCCCCCAGGACGGCGCCTTCATCCGATTTTCCCCCCCAGGACGGCGCCTTCATCCGATTTCCCCCCCCCCCCAGGACGGCGCCTTCATCCGATTTCCCCCCCCCCCAGGACGGCGCCTTCATCCGATTTTCCCCCCCCCCAGGACGGCGCCTTCATCTGATTCCCCCCCCCCCCCCCCCCCCCAGGACGGCGCCTTCATCTGATTTCCCCTTCCCCCCCCCCAGGACGGCGCCTTCATCTGATTTCCCCCTTCCCCCCCCCCCCAGGACGGCGCCTTCATCTGATTTCCCCCCCCCCCCCCCAGGACGGCACCTTCATCTGATTTCCCCCCCCCCCCCAGGACGGCACCTTCATCCGATTCCCCCCCCCCCCACAGGACGGCGCCTTCATCCGATTCCCCCCCCCCCCCCAGGACGGCGCCTTCATCCGATTTCCCCCCCCCCCCCCCCCCCAGGACGGCACCTTCATCCGATTCCCCCCCCTAGGACGGCGCCCTTCATCTGATTTCCTGATTTCCCCCCCCCAGGACGGCACTTTCATCTGATTTCCCCCCCCCCCCCCCAGGACGGACGGCGCCTTCATCTGATTCCCCCCCCCCCCCCCAGGACGGCACCTTCATCCGATTCCTTCCCCCCCAGGACGGCGCCTTCATCCGATTCCCCCCCCAGGACGGCGCCTTCATCCGATTTCCCCCCCCCCCCAGGACGGCGCCTTCATCTGATTCCCCCCCCCCCCCCAGGACGGCGCCTTCATCTGATTCCCCCCCCCCCCCCCAGGACGGCGCCTTCATCTGATTTCCCCTTCCCCCCCCCCCCCAGGACGGCGCCTTCATCTGATTTCCCCCCCCCCCCCCCCCAGGACGGCACCTTCATCTGATTTCCCCCCCCCCCCAGGACGGCACCTTCATCTGATTTCCCCCCCCCCCCCCCAGGGCCTTTCAGGACGGCGCCTTCATCTGATTCCCCCCCCCCCCCAGGACGGCGCCTTCATCTGATTCCCCCCCCCCCCCCCCAGGACGACGCCTTCATCTGATTCCCCCCCCCCCCCCCGGACGGCACATTCATCTGATTTCCCCCCCACAGGACGGCGCCTTCATCTGATTCCCCCCCCCCCCAAGACAGCGCCATCTTTGTTGAGGCATCATCCAGAATCACCGTCTACTTCCTTGGACTGAGATGGCGGCTCACAGATGACACAATCGTGTGAATCCTGGTGCCTGTGCTACTCTGGGCTGTGTTCCCAAATGTCTGACGCAGATCAGCCCCTGCCGCAGCCTCTCCCTGATCACTGGGGGAGGGGAGACTGAGGAAACGCTTCCTCCTGTCTGCAGCAGACTGAGGTCATGTCGGAAGTCAGCGATGTGGCAAGCCGGGTGTACTGGGATGTGCGGGTAACAGGGAGGAAAGATGGCTGCACAGTGCAGAACGGTGGCAAACAGTTGCTGTAGTTCCAAGGGGCACTGTGAAAGCCTGCTTACAGCTACCGGGTCACAACATGGGGTGCACGGGATGGGCGTCAGGGGAGCGGGCCGCGCACGGGATGGGCGTCGGAGGCGAGCGGGCCGCGCACGGGCGTCGGAGGCGAGGGGCCGCGCACGGCACGGGCGTCGGAGGCGAGCGGGGCCGCGCACGGCACGGGCGTCGGAGGCGAGCGGGCCGCGCACGGCACGGGGCGTCGGAGGCGAGCGGGCCGCGCACGGCACGGGCGTCGGAGGCGAGCGGGCCGCGCACGGCACGGGCGTCGGAGGCGAGCGGGCCGCGCACGGCACGGGCGTCGGAGGCGAGCGGGGTAGCCCGCGCACAGGCACGGCACGGGCGTCGGAGGCGAGCGGGCCGCGCACGGCACGGGCGTCGGAGGCGAGCGGGCCGCGCACGGCACGGGCGTCGGAGGGGAGCGGGCCGCGCACGGCACGGGCGTCGGAGGGGAGCGGGCCGCGCACGGCACGGGCGTCGGAGGGGAGCGGGCCGCGCACGGCACGGGCGTCGGAGGGGAGCGGGCCGCGCACGGCACGGGCGTCGGAGGGGAGCGGGCCACGCGCACGGCAGCGGGCGTCGGAGGGGAGGAGGGAGAGCGGGCCGCGCACGGCACGGGCGTCGGAGGGGGAGCGGGCCGCGCACGGCACGGGCGTCGGAGGGGAGCGGGCCGCGCACGGCACGGGCGTCGGAGGGGAGCGGGCCGCGCACGGCACGGCGTCGGAGGGGAGCGGGCCGCGCACGGCACGGGCGTCGGAGGGGAGCGGGCCGCGCACGGCACGGGCGTCGGAGGGGAGCGGGCCGCGCACGGCACGGGCGTCGGAGGGGAGCGGGCCGCGCACGGCGTCAGGGACGGGCGTGGGCAGGGGAGCGGGCCGCGCACGGCATGGGCGTCAGGGGAGCGCGCGGGCATGGGCGTCAGGGGAGCGGGCCGCGCACGGCATGGGCGTCAGGGGAGCGGGGGCCGCGCACGGGATGGGCGTCAGGGGAGCGGGCCGCGCACGGGATGGGCGTCAGGGGAGCGGGCCGCGCACGGGATGGGCGTCAGGGGAGCGGGCCGCGCACGGGATGGGCGTCAGGGGAGCGGGCCGCGCACGGGATGGGCGTCAGGGGAGCGGGCCGCGCACGGGATGGGCGTCAGGGGAGCGGGCCGCGCACGGGATGGGCGTCAGGGGAGCGGGCCGCGCACGGGACGGGCGTCAGGGGAGCGGGCCGCGCACGGGACGGGCGTCAGGGGAGCGGGCCGCGCACGGGACGGGCGTCAGGGGAGCGGGCCGCGCACGGGACGGGCGTCAGGGGAGCGGGCCGCGCACGGGCACGGGCGTCAGGGGAGCGGGCCGCGCACGGGGACGGGCGTCAGGGGAGCGGGCCGCGAACGGCAGAGCAGATTTCCGATCATTTCCCCCGAGTCGCTTGTCTCCTCACCGGGTGCGTCCAGCTGAAGCAGGCGATCGTCTCCCTCCTCCAGGAGCTGCGGCTCGAATTTTATGTCCTGGACCTTGGACAGGCGATTATCGATCTCCTCCTTCAATTCCTGGAACAAAGAAAGACGAGTGACCGCGGTGTACGGATAGAAAGTGACAGTTAGCCCCTCCCCCAAAGCGATCTCCCGTGTACCTTGGGGCGTTGTGTCCCACCGGAACGTGCGGGCCCCTGCGAGACTTCATCGCAAAACGCATGATCTGCCGCTTCACAAAGATGAACAGGAGGACGAAGACCTGCGGGGACAACGGAAATACTGGGACAGGAGCAATACAAGGGAACAGGGTTTATAAACATTGTATCTCTATCTCCCATCTGATCGATGTTTATAAACAATGTTACTTTGTATCTCTATCTCCCGTCTGATCGATGTTTATAAACGATGTTACTTTGTATCTCTCCATCTCCCGTCTGAGCGATGTTTTATAAACAATGTTACTTTGTATCTCTATCTCCCGTCTGATCGATGTTTATAAACGATGTTACTTTGTATCTCTCCATCTCCCGTCTGAGCGATGTGTTTATAAACAATGTTACTTTGTATCTCTATCTCCCGTCTGATCGATGTTTATAAACGATGTTACTTTGTATCTCTATCTCCCGTCTGATCGATGTTTATAAACAATGTTACTTTGTATCTCTCCATCTCCTGTCTGATCGATGTTTATGTTGAGTCCCCTTTCATACAGCTCTCCAGGGGCCCATTTGACACCAACAATGCTGCCAATAGGCAAGCTTGTGGTCCTAACATCTCTGGGGCCCCAACAACATAGCACACCAATAACATCTCCAGAGTGACTTTCAGGGCCCCCACAAGCCAAGGTTCCCTTCACTGTGGCCCTCACACCCACAGAGCTGTGGTTCGAATGTCTCAGGGCCCCTCCAGCAAAATACAAAAGCCCTTTGACAAAACCAAGCACCGTTCATGTCGCTCTCCAGGGGGCCCCCATGGTCCTAACCGTGTGATCCCGCCAATGGGGACTAGTATTCCCAAGGGCCCTCCAATATGGCACACCAAAAACCCTTAGGACCCAATTAATCACTCTTCGATAGCTCTTCAGGGGCCCATGTTGTCCTAAGAGTGTAAATCTCAATGAGGAAGGTGGAGGGGGTTCCAATCTTTCAGGGGCCCCTCAAACCCAACATAGCAGGAGCCCTTGTGCCCCAACTAATCAAAATGATCTTTCCATTCTGGAAGCTCCAATCTCCCCACAAGACCAAGGGCCCCTTTAACTTTGGAAAGGTAGGGGAGGTAGATCCAATATCCAGGTGGCCCTAAAAGTCCCTCCTATGGGGGGCCCCAAACACAAAGCTCTCAGGAGTTCATTGAAAAGCACACATTTGGTTAGTAGAGGGGCCCCCGAGGCCCTGATAGCTCAATGGTTTCCCAGCTACACTGGGGCCCCCAATATCTCAATGATTTCCCAGCAACACTACACTGGGGCCCCCAATATCTCAATGATTTCCCAGCTACACTACGCTGGGGCCCCCCAATATCTCAATGATTTCCCAGCTACACTACACTGGGGGCCCCCGATATCTCAGTGATTTCCCCCAGCTACACTACGCTGGGGCCCCCCAATATCTCAATGATTTCCCAGCTACACTACACTGGGGCCCCCCAATATCTCAATGATTTCCCAGCTACACTACGCTGGGGCCCCCCAATATCTCAATGATTTCCCAGCTACACTACACTGGGGCCCCCCAATATCTCAATGATTTCCCAGCTACACTACACTGGGGCCCCCAATATCTCAGTGATTTCCTTGCTACACTGGGCCCCCCGATATCTCAATGATTTCCCAGCTACAATACACTGGGGCCCCCCGATATCTCAGTGATTTCCCAGCTACACCACACTGGGGCCCCCAATATCTCAGTGACTTCCTTGCTACACTGGGGCCCCCAATATCTGAATGATTTCCCAGCTACACTACACTGGGGCCCCCAATATCTCAGTGACTTCGTTGCTACACTGGGGCCCCCAATATCTCAATGATTTCCCAGCTACACAACACTGGGGCCCCCAATATCTCAATGATTTCCCAGCTACACTGGGGCCCCCAATATCTCAATGATTTTCCCAGCTACACTGGGGCCCCCAATATCTCAATGATTTCCCAGCTACACTGGGGCCCCCAATATCTCAATGATTTCCCAGCTACGCTACACTGGGGCCCCCAACATCTCAATGATTTCCCAGCTACACTGGGGCCCCCCAATATCTCAGTGATTTCCCCGCTACACTACACTGGGGCCCCCAATATCTCAATGATTTCCCAGCTACACTACACTGGGACCCCCAATATCTCAATGATTTCCCAGCTACACTACACTGGGGGGGGGGGACCAACATCTCAATGATTTCCCCAGCTACACTGGGGCCCCCCAATATCTCAGTGATTTCCCCCCTGGGGCCCCGCTACACTACACTGGGGGCCCCCAATATCTCAATGATTTCCCAGCTACACTACGCTGGGGCCCCCCAATATCTCAATGATTTCCCAGCTACACTACACTGGGGGCCCCCAATATCTCAATGATTGCCCAGCTACACTACACTGGGACCCCCAATATCTCAATGATTTCCCAGCTACACTACACTGGGGCCCCCCAATATCTCAATGATTTCCCAGCTACACTACACTGGGGCCCCCAACATCTCAATGATTTCCCAGCTACACTACACTGGGGCCCCCAACATCTCAATGATTTCCCAGCTACACTGGGGCCCCCAATATCTCAATGACTTCCCAGCTACACTGGGCCCCCCAATATCTCAATGACTTCCCAGCTACACTGGGGCCCCCCAATATCTCAACGATTTCCCCCAGCTACACTACACTGGGGCCCCCAATATCTCAATGATTTCCCAGCTACACTACATTGGGGCCCCCAATATCTCAGTGACTTCCTTGCTACACTGGGGCCCCCAATATCTGAATGATTTCCCAGCTACACTACACTGGGGCCCCCAATATCTCAGTGACTTCGTTGCTACACTGGGGCCCCCAATATCTCAATGATTTCCCAGCTACACAACACTGGGGCCCCCAATATCTCAATGATTTCCCAGCTACACTGGGGCCCCCAATATCTCAAATGATTTCCCAGCTACACTACACTGGGGCCCCCAACATCTCAATGATTTCCCAGCTACACTGGGGCCCCCCCAATATCTCAGTGATTTCCCCGCTACACTACACTGGGGCCCCCAATATCTCAATGATTTCCCAGCTACACTACACTGGGACCCCCAATATCTCAATGATTTCCCAGCTACACTACACTGGGGCCCCCCAACATCTCAATGATTTCCCAGCTACACTACACTGGGGCCCCCAACATCTCAATGATTTTCCCAGCTACACTACACTGGGGCCCCCAACATCTCAATGATTTCCCAGCTACACTGGGGCCCCCATATATCTCAATGACTTCCCAGCTACACTGGGGCCCCCAATATCTCAATGATTTCCCAGCTACACTGGGGCCCCCAATATCTCAATGACTTCCCAGCTACACTACACTGGGCCCCCCAATATCTCAACGATTTCCCAGCTACACTACACTGGGGCCCCCAACATCTCAATGATTTCCCAGCTACACTGGGGCCCCCAATATCTCAATGACTTCCCAGCTACACTGGGGCCCCCAATATCTCAATGATTTCCCAGCTACACTACATTGGGGCCCCCAATATCTCAGTGACTTCCTTGCTACACTGGGGCCCCCAATATCTGAATGATTTCCCAGCTACACTACACTGGGGCCCCCAATATCTCAATGATTTCCCAGCTACACTACACTGGGGCCCCCAATATCTCAATGATTTCCCAGCTACACTACATTGGGGCCCCCAATATCTCAATGATTTCCCAGCTACACTACACTGGGGCCCCCAATATCTCAATATTTCCCAGCTACACTACACTGGGGCCCCCAATATCTCAGTGACTTCCTTGCTACACTGGGGCCCCCAATATCTCAATGATTTCCCAGCTACGCTACACTGGGGCCCCCAATATCTCAGTGACTTCGTTGCTACACTACACACTGGGCCCCCAATATCTCAATGATTTCCCAGCTACGCTACACTGGGGCCCCCCAATATCTCAGTGACTTCGTTGCCCAGCTACACTACACTGGGGCCCCCAATATCTCAATGATTTCCCAGCTACACTACACTGGGGCCCCCAATATCTCAATGACTTCCCAGCTACACTGGGGCCCCCAATATCTCAATGATTTCCCAGCTACACTACACTGGGGCCCCCCAATATCTCAACGATTTCCCAGCTACACTACACTGGGGCCCCCAATATCTCAATGATTTCCCAGCTACACTACACTGGGGCCCCCAATATCTCAATGATTTCCCAGCTACACTACACTGGGGCCCCCAACATCTCAATGATTTCCCAGCTACACTACGCTGGGGCCCCCAATATCTCGATTTCCCCCGGTTCCCCTGCTCCAGCAATCCCAATGATCCCCCCCAATCATCAGAGGGGCCCTTGGATCTCTGTACAGCCCTCAGGGGCCCCAGCACCCCCAAAAGTTTCCCCCAATTGCAGGAGCCCCATGACAGCTGTGGACTGTCTCTGGTACAGTCCATTAGGGGCCCCTGTGGCCCTCGTGTCCTCACCAGGCTGCCATAGGCCATCACCAGGACCACATTCACTCCGGACAGCCAGTTACTGGTGCTGCGCGCCATCTTCCCCCCTCCTTTCTCCATCTTCCAATCACATGACCCTCCTTCCCCACCAGGACACGCCCCCCACCGTGAGCCGCCCAGCCAACCAAGCGAGGCGTGAAACTCAGCACCGCCCCCCTTCGACTCTCCGGTGGAACGCAGGGCACGCCTTGACGTCACGGGCTAAGCGTACGTGAGAGGGGGCGGGACGGAAGGGAGGTCACGTGGTGCGAGAGCGGAGGAGCCGCAGGTAAGGACGGAGCTCGGCCGGCTTGTCCGGTGACGGGAGGCGGGGAGACGCGGGGGAGGGGAGGATGTGAGCGGGCGGAGGGCTTGGGGGCGAGGAGAGGCGGCGGGGGGAGCGGAGTCGGTCTTCCCGGGGCCGCCGGAGCCTCTTCCGCACTGAGGCCTAGTGGGGGCCAAGAAGCCGCGGGCTCGCCTAGGAAGTCATGCCGGGCTCCTTGCGCCATGGCCGGCGGTGAGTGGTCAGGAATTTTCGGTGGGTTGGAATCATTTTTCTGAGGGGGGTTGGGATGGAATGAGGGGGAGAAGGCTGTGTGTGTACCGGGGAGGGGGCTCCATGTGAGGGGCTGTGACCGGCAGGCCGGTCCCCCAATACTGACTTCCTGCTTGGGGAGCCCGGATCTGATCCCTAGGGGGAGGGGAGGCAGCTAAATATAATCCCGGGGGGGAGGGGGGGGTAGGGGGGGGGGCTTCGGATCTATATAATCCCGGGGGGGGGGAGCTTCCTGGGTATCGGGGGGGGGGGGGGGGAGCTCTGGGGAGTCGGATCTATATGTTCCTGGAGGGGGGGGCTATATAACTCTGGGGAGTCGGATCTATATGATCCTGGAGGGGGGGCTATATAACTCTGGGGAGTCGGATCTATATGATCCTGGAGGGGGGGCTATATAACTCTGGGGAGTCGGATCTATATAATCCCGGGGGGGGGGGGGGGGGGGGGGGGGGAGCTTCCTGGGTATCCTGCAGGGGGGGGAGCTCTGGGGAGTCGGATCTATATGTTCCTGGAGGGGGGGGGGCTATATAACTCTGGGGAGTCGGATCTATATGATCCTGGAGGGGGGGGCTATATAACTCTGGGGAGTCGGATCTATATGATCCTGGAGGGGGGGCTATATAACTCTGGGGAGTCGGATCTATATGATCCTGGAGGGGGGGCTATATAACTCTGGGGAGTCGGATCTATATGATCCTGAGGGGGGGCTATATAACTCTGGGAGTCGGATCTATATGATCCTGGAGGGGGGGCTATATAACTCTGGGGAGCCGGATCTATATGTTCCTGGAGGGGGGGCATATAACTCTGGGGAGCTGGATCTATGTGATCCTGGGGGGGGGAGGGGGCTATATAACTCTGGGGAGTCGGATCTATATGTTCCTGGAGGGGGGGCTATATAACTTTGGGAGCTGGATCTATATGATCCTGGAGGGGGGGCTATATAACTGGGGGGGGGGGCTCTATGTGATTCCAGGGAGCCCGGATCTATATGATCCTGGGGGCTTTCTAACTCTGGGGAGCTGGATCTATATGATCCTGTGGGAGGGGGACTCTATATAATTCCAGGTATGCAGGATCTATATGATCTCCTGGGTGGTCTCTATATAATGCCAGGGATCCATATTGGGGGGGGCTTTATATAACTCTGGGGTGTGGGATCTATATATCTGGGGGGGGGTCTCTATATAAATTCCAGGAGTCATGGATCTATATATCCTGGGGGGGGGACTCTAACTCTGGGGAGCCAGGTCCATATGATTCTGGGGGGTCCTCTGTATACGTTTGGGATTTAAATAGTCCTGGGGGGGGGGGCTTTATAAAACTCTGGGAAGCTAAGATCTATATGATCCTGTGGGGGGGCTCTATATAACAATGTGGAGCCAGGATCTACATGACCCTGTGAAGGGCGGGGGCTATCTAACTCTGGGGGTAGAGGACGACAACTCTATATAACAACGGGGGGGGGGGGGGGGCGCGCAGACTGAAGTAAGATATATCCCCAGGGTGGGGGCCCTATATAATATAAATCCCAGGGTGGGGGCCCTATATATATATAATCCCAAGGGTGGGGGCCCTATATATATATATATATATAATAATCCCAGGGTGGGGGGGCCCTATATATATATATATAATCCCAGGGTGGGGGCCCAGTCACGAATATATATATATATAATCCCAGGGTGGGGGGCCCTATATATATATATAATCCCAGGGTGGGGGCCCTATATATATATATAATCCCAGGGTGGGGGCCCTATATATATATAATCCCAGGGTGGGGGCCCTATATATATATATAATCCCAGGGTGGGGGCCCTATATATAATATATATAATCCCAGGGTGGGGGCCCTATATATATATATAATCCCAGGGTGGGGGCCCTATATATATATATATAATCCCAGGGTGGGGGCCCTATATATATAATCCCAGGGTGGGGGCCCTATATATATAATCCCAGGGTGGGGGCCCTATATATATAATCCCAGGGTGGGAGGCTGACTTTGTATACTTTTGGGGGCCGACTCTGTATAACATGGGGGGGCAGGCTGAATTTGTATATAACCCCGGGGTGGGGGCCCTCTGTATCCCTGGGGGGAGGCAGACTTTGTATAGACCCCCAGATGGGAAGGGGGGGGGGATGAGGCCAACTCTGTAAAACCCCAGGGAGGAGGTGGTGGAGGCCGACTTTATTTATCCCTGGGGGGGCGGGCTTCCTGACAGGAAGTGAGTGGGAGGAGCATGTTCCGGGTGTGACCAGTAGAACGTATCGGTTGTGTAGATTTGTTACATTGTAACGTGACGGATAGATTTCCTGTTCTGACCTCGGCTGCGCTCAGTGCGCTGTGACCTCCTCACCTGCGGGGGGCCTCGTCTTTGCATCTCACGCCGCTGTTTCCATGGAAGCACTGATACTGCTGGGTATATGGGGGGGGGGGACATGTGACTCCCCGCGTGTCGCGAGGCGGCCGACGTTTCTGTACTGAGCGCGCTCCCGGCGCAGAGATTGAGCTGTGAAGACAGACGATCCATAGGGAACTCCCGATCACGTGACCCTACGACGGCCAATCGCAGCGATCGCTGATCCTTGATGCCCCTGCGGCGGGCAGGAACGGTTACAAATTGTAATCGGTCGCTTAAACTAAATTTCGGTTTTGGGCGTGGCGACCCTTTCAATGCGAAGACGCACCCGTCTCCCCCGCAGGGCCCCCTGTGATTGGATCGCTGCCGCCATGAAGGGGGCGGGGCGGAAAATGGCGCAGTAATCTGGGTTCACCGGCGGTCTTCTCAGACCGATCCTGGGATGTCAAATGCGCCACACAGAGCGAATACCCAATCCTGACCCGGGAGGGGCGGAGACTATGTATGACATCACTGAGTCCAGGGAAGAATTTACGCTTTTTTTTCGCCCTCCTATGAGCTGTGGTGGGCCGAGTTACTTCCTCCCCTCAGAGCCTACAACTCACCGCGTTCGTCCAAAGAGGAGGATTTTTTTTTCCCGGGACTTGAATCGCTTCGCGCACACGTTTCCGGCGATGGCGCTGCGCTTTGCGCCTTGTTTCGGTGTGCCGTTGATGTAACGTTGGCGGATCGCGCGGATTGCGATGTGGGGGGAGGCGCGGTTTCCCGCGTCGGTGTGATCCGGGGCTGAACGATCCTTTTTCAGTATTATGATCGTTTTTTTTGCGGGGGGCGGAGTCGTGGAAGAAATGCCCCGGAGGACAGTGGGGTTGTCCGCTGTTTATCTGCGTAAAGTTTTGGACATTTGAATGGAATGTTTCTGTAAAATGTTACATTGTAGTTACAGAATGTTTCCTTTTTGTAGCTTTCTGAATTGAAGACGTGAGAGGGCAGCGTTCGGGGGGGGGGGGGGGGGGGTGGCTCCGAATGGAGAAATCTGATACAAATGGGGGGGTCCTCTAAACTCGCAGTGTGCTGACATTGGGGCGGGGTCATGGGGGGGGTCCTCTAAGCTCGCAGTGTGCTGACATTCATGGGGGGGGTCCTCTAAGCTCGCAGTGTGCTGACATTCATGGGGGGGGGGGGGGTCCTCTAAGCTCGCAGTGTGCTGGCATTCATGGGGGGGGGGGGGTCTCTAAGCTCGCAGTGTGCTGGCATTCATGGGGGGGGGGGGAGGGTGCGTCCTCTAAGCTCGCAGTGTGCTGGCATTCATGGGGGGGGGGGTCCTCTAAGCTCGCAGTGTGCTGGCATTCATGGGGGGGGGTCCTCTAAGCTCGCAGTGTGCTGGCATTCATGGGGGGGGGGTCCTCTAAGCTCGCAGTGTGCTGGCATTCATGGGGGGGGGGTCTCCTCTAAGCTCGCAGTGTGCTGGCATTCATGGGGGGGGGGGTCCTGTAAGCTCGCAGTGTGCTGGCATTCATGGGGGGGTCCTCTAAGCTCGCAGTGTGCTGGCATTCATGGGGGGGTCCTCTAAGCTCGCAGTGTGCTGGCATTCATGGGGGGGGGTCTCCTCTAAGGGGGGGGGGGCTCGCAGTGTGTGCTGGCATTCATGGGGGGGGGGTCCTCTAAGCTCGCAGTGTGCTGGCATTCATGGGGGGGGGGTCCTCTAAGCTCGCAGTGTGCTGGCATTTCATGGGGGGGTCCTCTAAGCTCGCAGTGTGCTGGGCATTCATGGGGGGGTCCTCTAAGCTCGCAGTGTGCTGGCATTCATGGGGGGGTCCTCTAAGCTCGCAGTGTGCTGGCATTCATGGGGGGGGTCCTCTAAGCTCGCAGTGTGCTGGCATGCATGGGGGGGTCCTCTAAGCTCGCAGTGTGCTGGCATTCATGGGGGGGGTCCTCTAAGCTCGCAGTGTGCGGTGTTTATGATGCAAGCAGCTTTATTTCCCTAAATAGCTTCAAGTGGGAGAAGCCGGACCGTCCGCCTGTGAATTCCCCCCCCCCCCCCCCCTGCAGCTGCCGGGACCCTTCATGTCACATCTCAGGGGGATGACGAGGCATGCCGTGCGGAGTCCGATCCCCCCCCAGTCTGAGGACAC